CACTACCTTCTCCTAGTATACCACCCAACTGCCCACACCCCTTCCCTACATCACAGCCACCCACACCCAGTCCCCATCCCCTGCCCCATCCCATCCCATCCCACTGACATGTCCCTAGCCACCCTCGCCCAATCCTCAACTGTGAAAGCCTCCGGCAACCACCACCACTACCCAGATGACCGAGCTGCACACAACACCCTGCCTCACCCCCAACCTGCCTCGCCTCGTCAAACTATCATCTCCATCCTTGCACGGTTGCACCCTCAAAACCTTCCTCCTTGCTTCCCAAATCTGATCCCAACTGAAAATACACCATCTCCTCACCATCATTGAACGAGATGAAGAAAGAGGGAAAAGAAGAGTGAGAATGTCGATTAACCGTGAAGGAAGCTGAATTGTGTAAGTGCGGTTGTCGACTGTATCGTGGCGGCGATACAGTGATGACCAGAGACGTCTGGCAGGCAGCGGCACTTCGGAGATGACCAGCGGCGATGACGATGAGTTTTATCGCAGATCTAAGGGAGAGATGAAGCGGCACACATATGTTTCTTTGCTTCTTGTGTAGATCTGCTTTGCGTAGAGACGATGAAGGTGAGATGCTACAAGGATGGACGAAGAAGAGAGATGGAGCCGGTCGCGTTATAACTTATACGGAGTAAGAAGGTAGCGTTAAAAGAACGGGAGAAAAGAGAGCAGGTCACTTTTTTGTAAAATTCTAAAATGCTTATATTTTTGCCTTTTGAAACTCGATGGGTAATATCCATGCCATTATTTCTAATTTGAACTAATCATTATACATAATTGTATTAAATTGTGATTTTCTAGGGATTATTTTGTGTATCCATAGCAATATTTAACTATATTTCGAATATGGTTGAAGTTTATATCATGTTTTCTAATCATGCATGCACTTTCTTAAAGTATTTTTTTGTTTTTTTTTTGAAATAAAAATTTTATTAATGAAAGAAAAGAAAAAGGGGGTTTTATTTAAATATTACAGTACTAATTTTAAACCAATTACCCAAAAAGTGGTCACTTTTAAAATGGGGGCATGTATTTAGAAGGTCATGTATTTAGAAAAACATAGTTTCTGCAAGATTTGTATGTCACTGTTAAATTTTAAAAAATACGATAGTAGATACTTTGTACAAATGTTATGCATGCTGGCCTGGGCATTTACCCAACCGCATAACGTGTGTATGAAAAACTAGTAAACTTATAAATATGATCAATAATTATATTTGAAGTCCTTGGCTAAATTCCAATGTTGACTGACTTGATGCCATCGATATACTGTATTTAACTTCTTGCAGTTGTCGGTTGCTTTTGTAAAGCTCCTTTAACAAATTAGAGTTGTTTCTCATCACTGACGGTTGAAATTTAAGCCAAAGCAATTAAGTTGAGAGCCCGTTTGGTAGCACCAAAATCGGCTGTTTTGGCTGATTCTGCTGAAATTTATGATATTCTGGCTGGAGTGGCTGTTTTGGCTGATTCTGCTGATTTAAGAAAAAAATATTTTAAAAATATATTTTATTAATAAATTAAAAAAAAATTATATGTAAAAATAGCTAAAATGGTCCTCTACAGTAACTTCAGCCAATACAGCCAGAAAAGTAACTCCAACCTTACTTTTTTGGCTTATTACACAATTCAGCGCGCGAAAGTAAAAGTTACGTGTTTGGTAAAAAAGCTGGCTGATAAGCCTGATAAGCCGAAAACAGAGTTCTCCAAACGGGCTCTGGGAATCTTAGTTTTTTACTTTTCCTAAAGTACGCGTTGGTATTATGCTTTCGGATGTACTAGCGTATAAAGATATTATTATGGGTGTGCGCAGTCCGAAACGGTCCGATAAATTAGCAAAACTCATAAAGTAGTCAGTGAAATTTCTAATTGTTCGGTTCGGTTCTAAGAATGGAACTATTCGATCCCATGTCGTTTTGGAACGGTACAAAGCGGTTCGGTACAATGTCAAACACATGTCGAAACATTTGAACAAATCTTGCAATTAGTAGATATCATCACACAGTCAATTCACATGAAATTTTGAAAAAAATACAAGAAAGTGCATACTAAATACTAGGAAAGATTCAAGATGTTAACATTTTTGTATTTAAATTCAAAAATACTCAAATAGTACAGTGCAACACAATTAAGTAAAAATGTAGCAAAATAACAATACAAATTCCACTAATATTACTCTTTTAAGAGTTATGGACAAAAATGTGACTTGATAACTTTTAGTTACTATAATTATGTCCAAAGTTACTATGATGTAGTGACCATAATCTAAACTTTGAACACAGTTATAGTAACTATAAGTTCTCAAGTCACATTTTTGTCCATAACTTTTGTATTAGTAATATTTTAGGAAAAACCTCCTAGATAAATATCATCCTCATTAAATTCATGTGATAATATAAAAAAAAATATCGTTAAATTGTTTAATATAATAGAAAAGTTTAATGCTCTTCTTTGTTTTAAGTTAAATATTAGTTTTAATTTAATTCATAGTTGAAACGTAAGAGCTAAGACTCAAATCATACTAATTAATTAAGTTGTAAAACTACACAAATATGATTCAACAAAAATCATATTCTAGCATTACTAGAAATTAATTGTAGTAATGATTTTTAAAACTTTAGCATTCTTTCATTATATACCAAATATAACATACATTATCTGAAAGGAAAAAATAACAATATTTCTATAACGCACACTTAGCTATTTTAGGGATGCATGAATACATACTTGGGATTTAAAATTGTTGGCCTATAAAAGATATTTATTGGTATGGAAAAAAATAAAAATCTCAAAGGCATTATTTTTTAACGGCTCGTTCCGGTATTTTTAGGTTCTCAAAATCTAGGATCGGTCCCTTACACGTTTGAAACGGTACTATTTCAGTTCAGGATAAAATTGTACAGAACAATTTAAATACACGATATTCAGTTCGGTACAATTACGAACCAGTTCAGTTCGGTTTTTATGTCCAACCCTAGATATTACTACATCTGTCCCCCTAAGATTAGGACAAAGAAAAGTGGTGTGGTTTAAAAAAAAGGTAGAATTATATGGTTGATAATGAATATATAAAGTGGGAATAAAGTAAGAATGAATTAGACCCACACAAATATTACCAAATATGGAATGAGACAAATTTAGTGGGACGGATGGAAAAGAGAAAATGGGACAATTATAGTGGGACGGAGGGACTATAATGTAATTCTCCCCCTGTCCCTTAAAACTTGGACAAATTTGACCGGTACGGGGATTAATAAAATATAAATTGTGTGATTGAAGTTTGCGCAGATGAGAGAATTAACTGTAACCACAAATTCTTTACTTAAAATAGAAAGTGGCAAAGTTAATGGAACAATAAAAAATGAAAAGTTGGCAAAAGTTTTAAGGGACGGGGAGTAAGTACTTTTTGAAAGGAAACTGATTATATTATATCAACCAAAGGACACAACATACTTCTCCACTTACAATCAACCCAAAGTTCCTCAACCAAGCATCTAAAATTATGACCCCACTTATAACGCCAAACCTCATCTTGAGGCTCCGCATAGCCCAAAGGCCGGCCCCCCACTCTCTGGCTAGACTTAGAATAGACCACCCCGGAAGGAGCGAGACTATTCGCGAACCATGTGAAAGTTTCGAAGCTTTTACCGACCAAACAGGCCTTATCGCTTCCACCAAAAACAACATCCCAAACCAAGTAAGAAAAAACAAGCTTCAACCTACTGCTAGAGTTCCAAACAAAGAGACAAGCAACATGAGCAAAGTAAAAAGAAAAACAATAGAAATAAATAAAGTCTTCTTGGCACTCGGCCTTATTTAACTCCCAGAAGTGCGGTCCAGTGACCCTCAAAACTGTGCCTGGCGAGCTACAGACGGGGAGTAAGTACTTCAATCCATCACTTTAATAAAGTTTATTTCTCAACTAGTGATGACAATTTAGTTTACTGTCCAGTTTCTAAGCTATCGGTTTCGATTTGTTTCGTTTTATACGGTTCGAGAGATATTGTTACAAATAAAATCATTTGTGTTTCGACTTAATTTGGAAGTGACTCGTTTCAATTTAGTACGTTGATTTGATTCGATTTAATTTGTTTATTGCTAATAGTTTATTTGATATATGGGGTTTTTACAAGAATATTACTTAAATAAAACTTATTTACATAAATATGACTATTCATTACTACAACGTAATGTTGTGGTAACTAAAGTTCAAAACTTGAACATGAATTACTATGATTTCATTACTACTCTAGTAACTAATCATATTTTTGTAAACCATCTTTATTTTGGTCATATTTATGCAATTATTTCTTGATATATACATCGAAGTTCTATTTTTTTTATATAAGCATTATTAATGTGACATCTCTTCTCGAACGTAACATCAATTTTCAATTACGTATAATGTAGAACTGAGATTGAGAGTGATGGTTGGTGCCCTTGGGTTACCTCATCTTTCAATGTTGTGGGCTCATCTTGAAGGTCCATTTGTTTGTGATTCTTTGAGCTCTGAGGTAGGTATTAATATGCTCAATCACTCTTCAATCATCCAAAAGGCCCATTTGGTTCTCACCTAACTTAAAATTGGAAAAGTCGAATGGAGCACAAGGATTATATAAAAGGGAAAACTGTCAAATAGGTCCTCGAACTTTTATAAAAAGGTCAATTAAGTCCTTCTATAGGAGGTTTTGTCCGGCCGTCGCGATTTGGGGCAGTTCCTGGTGGAATTTTGATGAAATTTTTTGAGCATCTTATTCACCAAGTCTAGTTTACTCATACCAAATTTCAGCTAAAATTTCAATCGGAAACACATTCAAATTAATTCTTGAAAATAACTGCACATTTTTGCGTTCTCGAATTAATTTGAATGCGCTCCCGATTAAATTTTTAGCTGAAATTTGGTATGAGTAAACTAGACTTGATGAATAAGATGCTCAAAAAATTTCATCAAAAAATTCCACCGGGAACCGCCCAAAATCGCGACGACCAGGCAAAGTCTCCTATAGAAGGACTTAATTGACTTTTTTGTGAAAGTTCGAGGACCTATTTGACAGTTTTCCCTTATATAAAATTAACACAATTTTCTTGACGATTGCAAAATGACAATTAGAAAAATGTTTTAATTACTCAAACATACAACGACACAAGTAATGTGAAGAATACATAAAATACAAGACGTGTTATGTTGAACTCAACTTTGTTAGCCCGGATTAATCAAAGTCGGATCACCTCAAACTTTTTCGATCACTTAAACTTATTTGAGTGATATACCAAATGAGATTGATCATGAGATGAGATTAGATCCGAAATGACGAGCCCAGACCAGATATTTATCAAGTACACCGGACCAGTACAAAATTGAACCGGCCAAAGCAATCCAAGCAAGGATAGACACGACCAGACCAAACTTAGATAATATTGATACACACACTTGGAAGCAGCAACCCCTACTACTTGTCTCATTTTGTGCCTCAAAATGTGGCACACTATGTAACTCCCTTCGTGTGGCCTGCGGCTTGTGCCGAAAATCAACACGAAATAGATTTGGGAGTTCGAAGTCATCATTGTTTTTGCCACGTGACCTCCTTAAGTGTGCATACCCACCAACTTCCACCCATGCAACTTTCCCCGCTGGTGTCTCCTTGTGTTGAGATGTCAAACTTTCTACTCCTAGAGCTGCCATATGTATGATCAAGGGTAGATCAAGCACACAAAAAGATCATATTATTGGTAACGTATGAGGGCAGATCCGGTATAAAATGTGCTTACTGTGTAAAACTTTGGGCGATATATATTTATGGTATTTATGTTACATATTGATGTTCAAAGTGTGGCATGTTATTCAGCGATGGAATAATAAATAGTTCCATATTAACGTTCAAGGTGCTGATCCGAAAAAATGTTTGGTTGAAGAGGAATTTTTATTTTGTTTAAGTACTAACTGTACTAAAAAGTGATCTTAATAATTAATGAACTAATTACTTAAACAACCATTTTCCTATATATTCATTCTATGGCGTTATTGTAAGCCTTGCTTCTCCTTCTTCTTCCTCTCCTCCTCCTCCCAAAATGATTTGTCTTATATGACGTCGAATTTTGGAAATAAATATAGAGATATTACCCGAAATAGGACTAAAAATGTTTGAAAATTCCAAAATAAAACTGTCATGTTTTTATTCCTAAAATAGGACTAATTACTGTCATGTTTTGGCAGTACCAGAATTCAAACATGGCAGTATTTTTCAAACTTGGCAGTAATTACTTCTATTTTGGGAATAAAAAACATGACAGTCCTATTTTGGAATTTTCAAACTGTTTTAGTCCTATTTTGGGAACTTTCCCATAAATATATATGTAGTATATTTACTGTTATAAACATGTTTAAAGTGAGTAGCGATCAGTAATATCCCAAGAATGTCCAAAGTTTAATGTTCTAACAAATCTTACGTGTTAAAAACGATGATGCATTTTGAGCAAACAGTGGATTGCTGACACTATATTTATTTAACGTGGCTATATACATAAAGACAAGTTTAATTTCAATGTTGAAAATTGATAATATATGGTGGTTAAATCTGCGCAATTTGGTAAAACTCTGGTTGACATATCAGAATCGGTTAAATCAATTGTATTATAAAAGTATTATATTTGAAATACATTTTATTAATAAAAGATTACACTTGTACTTATTAAAGTATATAAAATATCCTCTTTAATTTCGTAAATCCAGCTAATTGACCTAGAAAACTAATTTTACACAATCCAGTGCATGGTGTAAAAACTTACTTATATATGTACTCTCTCTCATTCTAAATAAACTTCACACTTTCCTTTTTGGATAGATCCAAAATAAATTTCACATTTCTATTTTTGGCAACTTTTTACCATTAAGTTACCCCTATACTCTTACTTTATTACCTACTTTACACCAATTTTCTCTCCCCCACTACACTTTATCTACTTTTTGTAGGGGTATGGTGGGAAAGTCAAAACAAAAAAAAATCACTTTCTTAAAAACCGTAAAGTCAAATCATGAAGATTATTTAGGACCGAAGGGAATATTTGGTAAAACGTAACAGTTGACTTACAAAGTTTATACATAAAAAATTGAGGTTATAAAATGGATTGTGTTTATTATTGGAAAGTTCTTGAAGTATATTTTTGTTTTTTTATACTTCTAATAATATGTAACATTTTTTGAAAAACTAAATTATTTTTAAAATTAAGCACAAGTAATTAACAATTTATATATCGTGTAAATAATATTGACTCATGCTAAAATAGAGAAAGAAAAGGATGTGGATATGATATCCTTATTAATTAGTTGCAACTATACAACTTTTTCAACTATTTATATAATTTGCACAGATTTCATTTTATTTATTGATGTATGAACAAAACATAGAAAACTATTTTTATACATTATTACTCCATCTCAAATTCCAAAATGTGATGTTTGAAAAAAGTCAATCAAATATATTAATAGCCAAAGTTGTACGTTATTAACGCTTAGGAATTGAGACCTTTATAATTAATTAACAATAAAGGAATAATAAAATTACGTACCATGCGTGACAATAAGCAGGTTCTCACTAGGATATTTATCGGCAAGGGCGCGTACAACGTTCCTATACCTACCATATGCAGCTTCTCTCGCTTCTCCCCACCCTGGCAGCTACGATAGTATATACGAAGTAATTATTATAATTATATAATTATTTTTATTACTTCTTTTAAAAATTGAAATCATAATAATTAATGTGAAATAGTGATTTAAACATGTGTATTTAATTTACAGTAAACAAATTACTTAAATTAAACACCTGCTGATAAACTTGTTCATAAGTCTCGGGATCTAGGTATACGGTTTGTGATGGGAAGTCAACTTCACACTCTGAGATATCAAATCCAAAATCTTCATCGCGAGGCGGCGTTTTTATGACTTTGTCGTTCATAACTTCTGCTAATCCAAACTCAATACAAACCTGATGAGACGCATATACAAAGTGTGATATATGAATTAACTAAAGAAGGAAATTAATTAAAGATAGTTAATGGTTCGATTCTTATATAAGGTTTAATTTTCGATCACAGTTAGGTTTTACTATACAGTGTGAGCTGAAAGTAACCAAATAATATACTCCGTTGATAAAATGTGGCCGGATGAACTTGCAAAAGATCCTAGGCGGAACCAGGATTTAGTCATAGGAGACCAATAAAAAAATCCTTAAAATATGACTAAAAAAAATAAAGTTCATAAATAGGGTTATTATACTCCGTATTGTTTTATTCTCAAAATAGGACTTATTCACTACTATTTTGGCAAGTTTTAATCAAATTATTCTTGATAGAATTAATCAGATCTATTTGAGGAGTAAAACAATTTTGTCATATTTTCAATCATATATATGTAATTATTTCTTCAGGAATGATCCTGTCAAAAATAACTGACGAGATTCTTCGTCCAGATGCCTATGTTTGAGGTGCTTTCGGGTGGATTTTTTGATAAAATTTTGTGACAATGTTCTGTGTAGATTATTTACGCCAAATTTCAGTTTAAAATTAAATCGGCAAGTCAGTTAAATAAATTATTAAAAAACACTGAACCAAAATATATATAAAATATGCAATGTTTTTCATAGTTTATTTAATTTACTTTCTGATTGAAAATTAAACTGAAATTCGGTGGACATAATCTACACTTCATCATGAAATACATGTTTACAAAATTTCATCAAAAAAATCTACGCGAAAGTAACTCAAATGGAGGCTTGTAATTTTGACCTAATTTTTTCTGATTATTTCAATATAATACTTGTACTACATACGCCCGTCCCTGCAAAAGACGTTAGGAAAATAAAATAGTCAGAGACGCATGAGCCCTGTCTTCATCAAGAAAGTATTTCGAACGAGAGAAAACTTTTCTCGAAGATAAAACGAGCTCTTTGACCAAATTATGTGAAATTATTAGGGAGAAGCTAAGAAACCTTAATCTCTACGTCGGGATCGTTGTACAATTTCAAGAGGGCTTCGACGGTGTTTGAAGCAGTCTGTAGACAGCGGAGGAAAGGGGAGACAATAACGCGGTCGATCGGGGCTCCAACACCATCCTGGATACTCTCCGCCGCATCGGAAAACAAGTTTGGTTCCTCAGTGACGCATATCGGCGGGTCCCAGGGACGGTTGTTCTTGTTGTCGCTAGTCCAGCTCTTGTCGACGGTATCAAGACGGTGTCCATGCCTCATTACGATGACGTTTTGGTACCCCATTTTTGCCGATTAATCTAAATCCCGACCGTATTAATTTCTTAATCACCAATATATTATTGTTAATTAATGAAAATATATATTAAGAATGTTTCATGAATTCAGCAGCTAGCTATATATACACGGAGTTCCAGCTTGAGGATTTAGAATTAGAAGAGCTTCACTTTACAAAAACGCGTACATTTGTTTCAGTATTTTCTCAATACTCCGTATAGAACACGTTTTTTTTATTCTCTTACACTTTATAGAAAAACTCATGCACAAATACAAAATACGTATAGGAGTGTAGCTCTATTGAACTTAGCCCTGGTTTACTTTTGACTTGATAGACTTGATGAGTAAGACCACTTAGTCATTCGATCATATCAAGGTGTGTTTATTTATTATTTAAATGAAAACATAACTTAATTATTCAGTCAAAAAACTGAATTAATTGTTAAGCAGGAATATAGTAATTCTTGACATTAAGACATACTACGTATGTTAAGACATTTTTTTGACAATTTTTTTAGATCGATTGTGAAATATATTTTTCTTTTAATTTTCGGGCAGCTTTGAAAATTGGAGTTACTTTTAATGGTCTTTTTCAGACGTTTTTAACGGCGTAAACCACTTTGATAAAGAATGAAACACATGACCCTATCTGAAAATGGGTCCAACTACAAGTACATTTTCCGTACTTTTCCCTATAATATAAGAATAATATGTACTACTAAATTGATTATTTTACTCATGTTCGGATGATTTATTTATCACATAAAATAAACCGTCTCAAACACAAATATCACTTCATCCAAATAGACAACATATTAATGCTAACAGGATTTAATAGAAAAAGGTGAAGAACACCTTATTCTGTAATCATGCCCATGGCCCATGTTGGGCCCACTTCACAACAAAGTCAACACAATTTTTTGATAATGCAAGTCAGATTATCCTTCCAAAACATTTTCCCAAACCCATGAACTACGTAGAGCGGCCTTTCGTCCAAAGGATGATTCAAGTAGGATCAAGTACTGTACTTCAATTACCCATTCTTCCCATTGGAGTACTAATACGTGCATATTTCGATCATCATTACCGATAGACACTCCCTTCGACCCCATCCCAAAAACATTTACCAACCATATTTTTACACCTCAAATGGAACTATTTTTAAATATGAAAATTATATTAAAATACTCCTTATTCAAAATATTTTTATAAAATATAAAAAATTTTGAATTATACACAAATATATTAAATTACACAAAATTAAAATCATTAGCCAAACTTTGTCATCATTGATCAAGAAAAAAAAATATTAAATTACACAAAATTAAAATCATTAGCCAAACTATGTCATTATTGATCAAGAAAAAACAATATGAAAAAACTATTTGGAACGGAGCTAAGTAGTATATAATTCTTCTTCTTAATGAATAGTATTTAGAAATAATGTTTCAGTAGCTTTCTTCCCAAAAAAATAATGTTTCAGTAGCTATATACACGGATCGGACTTCAGAGAGCAATTTTGTTATAATTTCTACACATTTCAAATTTAAAAAAATCTAAATATAGATATTTAGAAAGAGAAAATTTCAATTCTTTTATAACCAGTATTGGTAGTCTGGTACCATTGGAAAGATTATAAGAAATGAAAAAATTGGTATACTTCGTATTTTATTATAGAAAAATGGACCATATAAATAAAGAAGTGTTCTCCGGAGTTCCAGACCTTCCAGCTTGAGCTTGACGATCGATCGAAGCTACGCTCAAGCTAAGTTGTTTATTTAGAATAGATTAGGAGCCTATTTGGTAATCCTATTTTCGACTTACCAGGCTTATCGGTCAACATTTTCATCAAACACGTAACCTATGATAATAAAAGTAATGTTAAAGTTATTTTTCCGACTGAATTGACTGAATTCATTGTAGAGGACTATTTTATCTATTTTTACATATAATTTTTTCTTTATTTTATAAATAAATTAAATTTCAAATATAATTATTCATAACTCAGCATAATCAGCCAATTCAACCACTTCAGTTAAAATTTCATAAATTTCAGTAAAATCAGCCGATTTTGTTTTCACAAAAACGCGTACATACAATTTCTTTCTTTCAATTCTCAATCTAACTCACTTATTATTAGCTTTTATTTGTTTTCAATTACAATACCTTTACAAATCAAAAAAGCGCACGCAGGTATAAACAACCGGAATAGTAATGTAGCTGTAAAAAACAGGAGCCGTGTATTTTTTTCGACTTAATGTTTTAATCGAATTAATGGAAATTGCAATTTAATCGGCCAACTATGTACTTGTGTTTAAGTAAGACTTATTTTAAAATATGACTTGTTCGTTCATATCATTTTTGATTTATTAGTGCAACCCAGTCCTCACCTTCAGACATACTATCATATGTTTCTTTTTAGTTGCAATATAAAAAAATTTACACTATTCATTTCATTTTTTTAAAATTAAATATATATGACTTGTTCGCTCATATCATTTTTTATTTATTAGTGCAACCCAGCTTTGACTGCATTTTATTTATTAATCCATTAAAGTTTTTGTTTTTAAATAGGGGTTTGTCCTCAAATAATACTAATTAAAAGCATTTGGACAAAAAAGAGACTTTTCTTTTAAGCTCCAAAAATAAGACTAAATAATACTTAAGGGACTGTTACACCCTTAATAAGCCCAAACCCACTGGCCTGCTACAGTAACCCGCCACAGTGACCAAATGTGCAGTGACCAATGTTACAATTACCAATGACATAGTTACAAAATCCGCCAGTGACCAAAATCCATCAATGACCAAAATCCGCCAGTGACCAAAAATCCGCCAGTGACCAAAATCCATCAATGACCAAAATCCGCCAGTGACCAACCCGTCGCCTGCCACAGTGACTTGCCAACTGACCTTGGCGGACACAGTGACCACCACCGGCCACAGTGACACTGACCAAACAACAGTGACCACCACCAATCATTGCTGCCAGCCACCGCTGACCACCGCCGACCACCGTCATCCAGGGACAGTTATACCACCGCAGTGACCTACTCCAGTGACTCGCCGTTAGTTACTCAAGTGACAGTGACATGTCATTAGTGACATAATTTTTTCCGGTGGCCACCACCTGTCCCTCCGCCCTTGCTGCCACCTGCCCCATTCATTCTCCTCTAGTCCAGCCCCTACTAGCACCAGCCCCGCCCCTGCTCACACTAACCCCACCCATCCTACTCCAATTTCTCCAATGAAGTACCAGCCCCGCTCCTTGCCTTGCCAGCCCACCCCAGCCCCTAATTTCGGCATACCGATTGGATCCAGACCCTAGCCTCTCGGATATGAACTGAATCGTCACCGCTGAAGAGCTTTACTGTCGCCGCCATCGATGTAGATGATATACGCCATAGAAGTATAGCCGGAGGTCACCGAAGATCTCTCTCTCTCTCTCTGAGTCGCTGCTGCCGCTGCCGAAGACAGAGGTTCGCCTCCACTGTAGGAGCGAAGCCGGAGAAGTTGCTGACGGGCAAGAGGTTGGAATGGGAGGAGATCGAGATTGCAGACAGGATTAAGAGAGAAGAGAAAGATGAGGGCGCACCTGCGGATACGGTGATGGCGGCGGTGAAGGTAGGGAGGCGGCGTGAGATGCAGGGGGCGGCTCGGAGGAATGTAGCGTCGAGGTTGGCTGCAGCGTCGAGGTTGGAGGAGCGTAGCGTGAACTAGGGCTTCACGATTTTATTGGGCCATCCTTTTCAGAAATTGAAGGGCATTTTAGACAATAAACATCATTTTTAATCAGTTTTTTGTCCATCCGAGATTTCCTCTTATTTTTGTTTTTTGAATAGCTGTACACCCCGTTTTTGTCATTCTTAAATATTGTTGTATTCAATTCATTACATACTTTCATAATTTGATTTTAATTTTTTTTACTAATAGAGAGTTAAATATAATGACGATCAAAGTTGTGCGTTGACAAGCATGAAAGTAAAGAATGTTGCAACGAAAAAAGAAGAGCGAAGTACATATATATGTGCAACCTCCTTTTCATCACTAACCTTGCTAATTAAAGTAGCGCGACCTAAGTAGCGTGGTGTCAACATCTTCTTTAATTGCTATATTTCTCCCTTAGCTTCTCTGTAGCTTCCTCGATGATGTTTGTGACTGAGTTTTCGATCAAAGGAATGGAGGATCAAAAGTGCCCATGACAATTTTGTTGAAGAAGATAAATCTTTTCATTTTCCTAATATCTTCCAAAGCAAAACCTAAATAGTTCAATAAATGAGCCAGATTTAGCATTGCCCGTGCGTAAACTTTACATACAAGAGTAATAGTTCAATAACATGGATCATTCTACTTATCAAGAAACATTGTTAAACTACATTAAAACAGCACTCTATACTTTATATAACTTCATTAGAATGTTAAATGTACATTGCTAGAATTCAAAGAAAAAAATAAAATTTCTTAAATTTTGTTATAGTAATCAAAGTAAAAAATATAATTAATGAATTGAGGTAGTATATGTAACTCAATGTATTGCACATTTATAATGGTGTTGGTTTGAGTCTTGTGTGACTCCCTCCCTGAGTCATTAAGTAATGATTCTCATCTATGAAGCACAGATACTTTCATAAGGTAGCGTATCGGCGTATCGGCCGGATAATGTTTTTAATTTAGATTTAAATAAATCTAAATTATCTGTGCTTCATGGAATTTATATGGGTATCCTAGAGTATCGGGGGTGCTACATAGATTCCCATCTTAGATCCATAGGCCTGCCTTTGACGTTTATGTTATTAAAACAATGACGTGAACAATAAAGGTCTATGAGAAATGGACAAAATCAGATTAGAATTTACCTCCTTTACGATATCTCTTTTGGCACAGGTCCTACTCATATCAATATTGACAATATTTCAATCATGGTTCAAAGATTATGCATTATCTAAACATTATTAGTACAAAAGTGTGAAGGATGCACCAATGACCTACATTATCTTTTACAATTTAAAGTCACTGTTTGTTCAGTTTGGTTGCTTTTCGGTTTTTGACAAAATATTTTGTTGATTATAAAACATTGCAATTGGAAAACAAACACAAAAAATAAGCTGCATCAAACAATTCTTAATAGTAATATAATACCAAAACATAATTAAAAAGGAAAGTTTTTTTTGGAAGAAAACATAATTAAAAAGGAGAGAAAATATATATGGAAATCCAAAAACAATGACTTGAAGAGTATATAAACCCCTTAAACATATTTTAAAATA